CAGACTGTTAACCATGTTGGCTATCGTTGACTGTGTTGAACTCTTTTGGCTGTTGAATTTTGGCAGCCCACAGACTTTCACAGCAGACTTTCTACCAACCCTATTGCCCAGACCAGCCAAGTGCTCGGGCAATTAAGTTTTCTATGCCAGAAAAACAATAGACAAACCCTATTACAACATTCTGTATAGGTAATGGGTACAAATGATATTTAAAAACAAGACTGGGCTAATTGCAGCTCAGTCTCTTGTTGCTCATTGTTTCTGTCAGCTCTGGGGAGACATTATTCTGCTGCTTCCAGCGATGATACCTGCAAGGCAGGTGATGATCATCTTTTGTTGTGCTGTGTCAGAGAGCACTGGCAGCAGACCAGGGGCTCCATAATAACTCCCCTTGTGCTAAAGCCAGTATGGTCATGGCCCATCCCCCCCAGAGCCAGCCCTTACAGTTCCAATAAGCAGAGTTCCTCCAGGTGGTCGCAGGGCAAGCACGCAGGTAAGTCATGGTGTAGGATTCTAGTCCTCTCTATTGCTGGTATGATTTTGTAACATCAAACTCATTTTTCTTGGGCTGGATCCCAGCTAGCCTAAAATGTTGGTGCATCCTCATGTTGCCTGAACGTTACAGACACCCAGTGCTGTGCCCCTTGGCCACTAAAGTGGGGTGAAGGACCAACATACTCAGGATGGCCAGCGTGGGCCAGCACAGCCCCATGGCAGGCCGAGACTCAGGGCTCAGCATCCTCCTGCCAGCGCTGCCCTGGCCTTCCAGCTCCATCCGAGCTGCGGGCTGCTAGTGACATCACAGTGACAAGTGACTGCACCAGTCATCTGCCAGAGCCACCAGGCCAAGAACCTCCAGAGCCTGCTGCCCTGGGGCCAACCAGCATGACCCACAGTGGGTGTGGTCTCCTCCCCTGCTCCCCAAGGGCCAGCCAGCTTCTTCACACACACAAAAATCATAAAAATAGATCTTTCCCCTCCCCCAGCACCTCAATTTTTATAAATAAAGTTGACAGACAAGGCTGTTAAAAGGAAAATAAATCCAGCTTCTTTGGTATTTGTTTGTTCTAGTGTTTTGTTTTGTTTTTTTTTCTTTCCCCAAGAGGCTCTAGAAATCTAATTTAATTGCCAGAGCTTGGTTTCCTCCCGCCAGCCTGGCAGGGACCACCGCTCAGGTTTGTGCTCATCGCTGTGCAGGGCCTGGAGGGGTGCAGGGCGTTTTCCATAAACCCTTTTTAGAGAAGCAGCAGATGGGGTAAGTGAGATTTTTGTCTTTCTCTCCCCAGCCCTCATCCTAATTAAGAGGAAAAAGTATCCCACACTTGAAATGCTCCCCAGAGCTGTAGCCTGGAGTAGGGCTTAGGCAGAGTTAGACAGACCCGGTGTGGTGACCAGGCACTCAAAACAGCCATAATCACCACGTCTCCTTCTGGACCAGCAGCATCATCACAGCTATTTCAAGGATCTGCTTCCTGCAGACGCCGGTCAGCCCCTGCTGAGAGGTCTCTGCCCTGTGCCAGCTAGTTTTCTCTTTCGCTTTTCTTTTTTTACACACTTATCTGTTAGCAGAATTTAAAAAGAGTGATACCCTATTTTGGTCTAGGTGATACCCTATCTGAAACCAGTGTGGATGCTCTTCTCCATTGAGTTACCTTAGAGAAACTGGGTTGCAAACGTGGGAGGCAGTAGTTAGGGAGACTCATTCTCTAACTCTGCTTTAACTAAGAATCATATTCAAGCCAGAATATTTTATTACCTCTATATAAATCCCAATACTTATATTTGGAACCTTAAAAGATTTTTCTGTATAGTCAGGGAAATAAATTTCCTAGGACTGTGGAACATTGCAGGGAAGATTTAAGTGCTTGCTTCTTTTCTTAAGAAGGTGGAAGAGGGAATTACTGGGGAGCACCAAGAAAGAAGAGCCATCCTGGCCTGACTGAGCTGAGACCCTCATTTTCAAGTGGTGGAAAAACTGTAGAGGAATGAAACCAGGACGCTGCACAGAGCGCTATTTGTAATCATCTGTTCTCATATGTCATTAGGATATTTTCAATCTTGCTGCCTGGAGTAATTTTTAACAGCTTACCAACCGCCCACAAAATCCATTAGTTTAAACAATAAAAATGAGCAATTTGGCCACACAGCGATGGGCCGAAAATTGCTTTGGTAAGTGCAGGTATAATGAGGCTGGAGACTTGGGAGCTGCACGAGGGCCATGACAGACCTAACAGAAAACACAGTTCCTGCAAGCTGTTCTTTGTAAGGGCAACACCAGGCCTTGGTTTCCATTTATGGTTGAACTTGATCTTAGAGGTCTGATTCTGTGATTTCCTAGACCACCCTGTAGCTGGAGAATAAAATTTATCAAGAGGCAGGTACTGAATGCAGAGCATGGCACATACATACGTGTGAGTTTTTTGGGTGGCTTCTCTTAGTATGTGCCTGATAACGTCTGAATGCTTCACCTTGCACCTGGTACTAATGAATTTGAGCGGATCTGTGCAAACCAACCAAAAAGTGGTGCTGCCAGTATCTTCAAAAGCCAGCAGGTGTGGAGAGGCAAAGGAGGCTGGGGGCTGGCCCTCATCCCTGCCTGGCACTGGCACCCTTGCTGGGGACCACACAGTGTAAGTGGTCTCTAATCCCATTCTGGTGAGAAAACTTTTCTTGTTAAATGTATCAAGTGATGAGTCAGGGATATTTTGGTTTTCTTTATTCCCCCCACCCAAGAGCAATTTCCTTGGTGCTGGGGAGTGCAATTTTATTTCCAGCCCACAGCTGGATGCAACTGACCTGCTTGGTTTATTGCTGAAGTGGGTGATAGCCCATCAACCCGCTGCATGGAAGCGAGGTGCTCAGCTACTGTCCTCTGCCAGCTTTTCTACTTTATGAGTCTGTCAAACTGCTTTTATTCACTCCTAATAGAATCTTTCCACAATAAGGAGCTTGCATGGCTAGAGAGGGGAAGGAGGCTGCTGCTATTACCTTGGAATTGTGATAAATTGCTAGGCAGCTTTCGGGGTTGTAGCCATGGGAGTGTTCCTCTTGCTTTCAGGAACTTTTTTCATCCCCAGTGCTTTACGTACATGTCACAGTGTGCATTTATTCCTCTTCTTTCAGTGCTGTGCTTGTGTGGAGAGATTCGTAAAAACTGATCACCTAGTACATAAAACTGAGTGATTAATTAACACTTCATCCCTGAGTCGCAAGAGCAGCATCAGTGTCTCACTGGACAAATAACCCCACACCAGGGAGCTTGGCTGTCTGGGAATTACTGTTTGAAGCAATTGCATTCTTCTGTAACTGGGATTGCATAGGATTATGGTATTATAAATGGGATTTGCTCTAAAGGCCAGTGGCCTTCTCTATCTTATGGATTACTCCAGCTTCTCCTAAAAGGAATTTTGATAATGCTTCTTTAATGAGACTGTACTAAATTGAATTACATCCTGTCTTCCCCATAAAGTCGTCTCTTTTTCTATGACACTGGACACACACAGAGAAGAGAGTTTTATGTATTCCTTTGTTTTATATTCCTTTCTAGGGGGTATATGTGACCTATATAATAAAGACCTACACAACACATGAGCCCAACCATCAATATTTGTAAAGGAAAAAAAAAATCTGGTTCTTTTAGAATGATCTGGGAGCTGCTCTCTTCTCACCATCACCCCCTATTCTGGCCCAAACAGCCCAGATTTCAAACTGGAGATGACAAATCCTCCGGGGATACACTGCAAGTTCTTTGTAACACCGGTACTCCAGGGCCTGCAAACACCACCAGCTGTTTCCAGGGCTCTGAGTCCTTGCACGGGATTCCCTTGACACAAGCAAGGGTGGGAGAGCAAAGGGAATAAACATCTAGTGGATGAGAGGGAAGGGGAATCTCTGCAGTTTTCCCTGCTATTAGTTTGGAGTAGCAGCTGCCTCTTCATCATGCTGCACCTTCTTAGGCAGCTTGTGAAGCCCCCTGCCCCAGCTGACTCCTGCACGCCTCCTGGCCAGCTGCCCAGCACAGCTGTGACCCAGGCCTGCAGGCCAGTTGGCCAGCAGGTGAGGGTTTTTCTGTGGAAGGTCATGGATAGGGAAGGACTAGTCGGTGCAACAGGGCTGTAGACTTCTCTCAGTTGAGGTCTGGAGCTATTCACTTGCCCGAGCTGTGCAGCCCCACTTCATCTCACTGCGCAGGCAGCAGCTGCAGGTGATGCTGGAGAAGAGCCCACCACAGCCTGCAGACAAACCAGCTTAACAAGAGGCTTTCCCTAGGTAGAACTTGCAGTCTTTATTCTACTCATGGCTCTCTTCCCTCAGTCCTGCTTTATCTAATCCATTTGCTGCAGAGAAACACTAATTAGCTTTCTTCTTCACACGGCATGCACCTCCAGTTTTAGTCCATAACCGGCTTCTAGCTCCATCAACAGATATTGAGGCTCAACCCGAGAGCTGGTACAGAGGCCAGCTGGAAGATCACCGGGTCCACTGACCCGCTGTGGTCTGACCTCTCTCAGCCCCATGGGCTGGGTCGCTGCACTCTCCCC